AGAGACATTAGGCGTATTCAGGTTTCATCCATCCCTGAGGAGACTATTCTAGTTTGCTCCCTTTTTGCTGATGATCTGTCCTTAATGATTGACGTCTCTCTAGAGAATCTAAAAACAGTCAAAAGAATAATGAACAAGTTTTGTCGTTTGTTTGATATGAGAGTAAGTTGCGGTGATAAGACACTTGGTTGGTGAATTCATTACCAAGGAGTGAGACCACCGAAAGTACCTTAGGTGAAGTGGCTCCCTCTTGAAACACTTATCAGGGTACTGAGTATCGCATTGTCATCTCTGGGAAAACCTACTATTAACAATGAAGTGCTTCTACAACAAGCTCAAACAAAATTAGAACTATAGAAGAATAAACATACGTCCATTTTGGGTAGAACGTTAGTCATCAACAATGTTGTACTGACTGCCATATGATATAAATCTGTCATTTGGGTAATGAACAAAACAACTTTCAAAATTCTTCAAAGACAGTTAGTGACATTCTTGTGGCGAGAGAATCACGAGTGTGAAAGGGTAATCAGTAGAGTGACGTGGTTATTAGTGATTCAACCCAATGAAAAGGAGGTATGGGTATTATCGGTCCAACCTCACAAGCGATGACCCTCTCCATTCAGTGGATCAAATGCATATTGTTCATACCTCTCGCTTCCTGGAGTATGTTGGCATGCGAACAACTGAGGAGACTAGCACTAGTTACAACAGATAGTGTAGAATCTGTAGATCCTCTCATGCGGTTAGAAAACAGATTATGCTCAATTCCCAGAAGTTCCTTAAAACAATCACATCTGCATGATATATCAGACAGACAAGTTGCTAGAAGCGATATAAGTAATGACCCCTTTTGGATCACCCTAATAAAAACATGGAGAGAACTCTTATTACTCGACAAAATTAACCTTGTGCGATGGGAGAAAGTGTGCCAACAACCTCTTTTCAATAATACCTTCCTTAGGGACTCTCAAGGATGTGTGCTTAATTGTACGAACTCTTCTTGGAAAGGTTGGATTAGAAAAAATGTTATACGTATTAAGGATATTTGAAATAAGAATACCAGAGATTGAATCTCCCTCACAAATTTACAAACCCATTTGTGTTCTTGTCATTATTCACACAAGGCGTTAGAGGTTGTGGTGGATATAATCCCTTTGGATTGGATCCGAGTATTGAAGAATGGTCCCAAGTTCCAGACAAACAATTGGGCGACAATCAGAGATAAGACGACTCTAGTGGGCAATATAATGAAAATATTTAATGCAAAATTCAAACTTTTATGAAGTTTTATCCATTTTTGACCTAGAAAGTGATAATTCTCTAAGTCCTAGACAACAAAAGGATATTAGGTGGGTCAAAGGAGATCAAATTTTTCGTATCAGAATTCTAAGAGTAAAAAACAAATGGTTAGCCTTCAAGCCAGACACACCAATACAAGACATGCCAATAGATCTATTGGCTTGGACCTGGTCAAGTTCAACGGGCAATGGGAGGGCCTACACTAGGTCAATACATACGTTAAAGGTTAAATCGGCCGACATGATGTTGAGACCAAGAGTAAACTTCAAAGTCGGAATTGAAACAAGATGGATAAAGAAGTTGAATGTGAGTAAGGAAGTATTACGCTCGGTCAAGTGGTTTCAATCCATTAAAACCAAACCAGCTAAGGTAGTTTCCTTGCAATAGCAAATTGCCCGTAGATGTCTCCCCACAAATGACTGGATTATAGATAGATCTACATTGGGACAGAGGGGTTTTGCCTTTCCCTCGTGTAATTTTTGCAAGTCCGCTTTCCCATCCAAACTCATTCCGGAAACTATTGAACACATATTCCTTCAATGCCCAAGAGCAGAGTGGCTATGGCGCTGGTGGGATAAAATCTAGGACCAACTCGAAATATCTCCGCCCTAGCCCTGGAATTGGAAGACTCTCCTCTTAGAAACTTGAGACTCAAACCAAGTAGACGAGTTTACCATGAACTTGTTCATAATAGGGGGAAGAGCACTAATGTGGGTAATATGGAAGAGAAGGTGTACATACGAGATGGAAGGTGCACGTTTGGATAGGCCGAAATTCATTGATTCTATTAAACAGCAGGTACAAACAGTAATCATCTCTAACTGGGAAAAGGTCAAAGACAAGATTACATAACCTTCGTCCAAATCTGATATTCTGTATAATATTCATAACTTCAAGAAATGCTGGCTTGGAGAGAACCAGGGGGGGGAATTGGGAAAGGTGAAGTGGGTGGGAGGACAAGGTGGGGCCCAAAAAGAGTCGGAAAGGAATTATCGCTTAATTTTCAATGACTGGCCTGATGTCGATCCTGCTATTCCCCGAAAACCTCTTTCAGAATTTCCTGATCCCTTCCCTCCTTCTCAACTCTGTGTGGTACCCAGGACTGGGTATGGGTATGAATGAGACAGATTGGTAACAAGAGATATATGGGGTTCAAGGGGATTAGAAGTTGAGGAAGGCATAGAAATGTGCTAGGGATACATGTTGTTTTGGCGCCTGGCATCAGGTGAAGAGGCAATTGAGGAGTCGGAGAGTCACTATCAACCAATCATGAGGGACACTGGGCCCGGTTCCCAGCATGCGATGTGTTACCAGATCTGCATTTTATCTCAGGGGACGCTGGACCCACTTTCCAGCAGGTGAAGCTCCCCATCAATAGATTGGAGCCCCCTGTAAGATAGGTAGGATTGTATGCTCTTATCATCACTCCTAGCTGTTGACGCAGGTGGATTGTTTAAAAAAAAAAGAAAAAAAAAAGAAAAAAAAAAGAAAAAAGAATTACCTGGGCCCTTTCACCTGTGGATATACCTCAAGACTGCCGCCCTTTTTATAAAGGGAAAACTACGGCGCAGTCAGGGTTTGAGTTTGAAAATGGGGCTCGTTCAACACTCCTTGGGGCGTCCTTGGGGCCCAAGGAAGTTTCCTTGGGGGGTTTCAAGGAAATTCCCGCCATCGTTCCACCTGTCCTCGGGGACGTCGCCCGAGGACATTTCCTTCGAACGATGTCAGACAAGAAAAAAGAAAAGAAAAAAAAAATCAAATGTGTTTGAGGCCTTCAGCCAATAGGGTGCCGCCACGATCCAGATTCTCGGTTGTAACGTCTCTCTACCCATGTGCCCGCTCCTCTCC